TCCTTCAAGGATGCTGAGACATTTTAATGACAAAATAAACCTTGAAGATACCAGAATGTTTCAGCTGTCCAAAATAAAGAAGATGATAAAAAAGAAACTCAGCAGCAATTATTCTCATGGTAAGTACAAAAGACAAATAAGGATTACAGATGCTGATGTTATAGGCTACATTGTAAAAGAACAAATCCTATGGCTATTTGAACTTGGCAAAGAATAAAGGGCAACAACTCAGCTTTCACCGTGCTGTTAGCAAACTGGTTCAGGGTTTCCTGGCCCTGAGGAAGGAGCTTCGTCAGGTCAACATGAACCCCCCTCCTTTAGGGTAATCCTTCCCTCCACCCTGGTAATCCAATTTTTTTAGGTAGTCAAACAATGGGCTGAACTGCGCTGTTGTAGCATCCTCCTAGATAGGTGCTAGGTTAGGTAAATTTAGTTACTGGCTCACTGTAATCAGTTGAGCTGCATTTGATTATTTTGGTCTGTTCTTTGTTTCACAAGCTGCAGAGTTGGCTGCTTCCCCCTGTATGTCTGGAGGGTTCTAGAAGACAGAGGGCAGGGACAGTCAAATAAACAGCTGAACATTTATGCTGCCCTAGCCAATCCTTGGGGGGAGGTGTCCAGATGGTCGCCTGGGGAAAGCATAAATACGCTGAGACTTGGAGCAGAGGTGTTCTCTTAGATGAGGAGATCCCAGCTGGGGCTGCTGCCCTTCTGGGGAAAGCCTGCCATGTGTCTGCTGTTCATCGAGGTCCCGGCTGAGCTAGCTGAGGAGCCTACTCTGCTGAAATTCGCTGAAGCTGACTGAGGCACTTTCTTTTGAGGATCTGGTTTGAAAAATTCACAGGGAGCTGTCTGGAAGATATTGGAAGGAGGCATCCAATCATCCAAGGACATTAGTGAGTACAGACAGGTGTGAGGGATCCGAGGGACCATGTGCTGCTATTAATCCTCTTGTACTACAGTCAGCATTACCTAAAGAGACATTGTGCTTGGTGTCTCATTATAGCTCAGCCCAATATTTGCTGCTGTAAGGACTGTGCTCAGGATTCTTCAGAGGAATGTAAGTGTCCTAAAGTTACTGCTTAAAGTTGCTGGAGTATCCCACAGTTACCCTATATCAATCCAAGTTCACGTTTTACAATGAAGCATCAGAGAAGCATACCCCAAAACTGATTACTAAACCAATAGAGTTTCTGTGAATGTGTGCCTGGCTGTAGATGCATCTACAGGGAAAGAACCTTAGGACCTAAACAACTGACTTCTTCAAGGGTGAGAACTACACTGTCACACCTTCGCCTACAGGAAAAGCATGCCAATATTTACATTTCTCTTGATAGAAGTTGAGTTGACCATCACCCCGATTAGTTAACAAACACACCTCTCCATTCACTTTAGAGGAACATTGTGTGTCTTTGCTGCTCATGCTTATAAATTATGGATACAGCTTTGATGTTTACTGGATTGTGATGTTTAGGCAAGATAGGAGCCCTACTGGGAGGCCAGCATCCCTTCTCACAATATTGGCTTGGCGGTAGGGCAACACTCTTGGAAGCATTGTACCGAAAACCATTAACAGTCTACTCTGTCGGTGTCCGTTGTGAACAGGCTACATGTTGAAGAATCTGCAAGTTCCACTTTCAAGTCTTCTAAAGTTAAGTTATTATGGTGGTGGCACATTTTCACATTTTGATGTCACAGTTGTGACTTCCATGAACCCTGTTTTTACACCACTGGATTTGCTGCTACTAGAGGTTACTGCACTTTCTACACAATTCCCCAAAAAGTCAAAAAATGTTTACCCAAAATCATAATTAAAAAGTGTATGTTTCTCCTGTACCTCCTGCTTTTCCTTTCAACTCACACTGCCTGGTTTGCCTATGGCCTCTTCTGCTCTAGTCTTTCTAGTCCAAGCTTTGCATCTAGGTACTGCACATAATGACCCTAATAGGCACAAATACACATTCTACACACTGTTCACAATATGTAGTTGGAGTATAGAGATGAAAATGGTGGAGCAGCATCTTATAAAGGAGTATGTGAAAATTGAAAGAAAATGAAGAAAGGAGAAATGGAGAGAAATTTGCTGAATGCAAGGGCACATAGAAATGTTTTTATGTGACACAGATGCTGGTTGAAGTGTGTTGCAATGCGTTATAGCTTGCTGTCTGGTGTGAACAAGCCTTAAGGACCCTTTCAGAAGAGCTGTGTCTTTTTTGATCAGCAGGGAATCCATGAATCAGAGCAGAACTTTGGCACCATCCATGTCCATTCAGGTTTTACCTTCAGCCTGAAACCAGACCCCTGTTAATTCTATGGGCAGGCAGGTCTAAATGGACATGCATTGTTTTACATCCTTTTACTGCCAATCTATCACTTTCTGGTCTGAAAAAAAAAATAAAAAGGGCGCAAATCTTTTCCATTGTTTTTTTTTCTTTTTGGCCTAAATGGACTGGAGGTAATCAAAGGTAAACAGATGCACATCCGTTTACTTGCACCTAACCATAGTCTAACATTGAGCTGCCATTCAGATCCAGCTAATAAAACTGGCAGGTGGATCTTATCGGAACGTTCATCTGAAAGGACGCCAAGACTACTTGTTGGAACTCACCAGGTACACCTGTGGACAATTACATAGTGTAATAAAAGGAAATGCTCAGTTTCAGCAAGATGCCTAAATAAACAGGTTCCTACATCTCGTCTGTGTAGCAGACATGAAAATAATACATTTTGAACAGGATTTATTGTGGAAAAGAGAATTAAACAAGCTGTAATTGGATTTAAAACTGTGAAATCCAAAAATATGTAAAACGTTCAATGTTTTGTTAATAAGGGGACCTGATTCTGCAAAAGAAGCACAGGAAGACATAAAAAAATTTTTTTATTAATAGCTGGAAGGAACATATGAAATTTTACATTTACCCTAATGCAATGTGCTTTGACTGTGGGCAAGGACACAGGGGCCCCATGATCCCCTATTGCCCGGGGCCCCCTTAAGTTGTCAGTCCGCCCCTGTTGCCTACTGTATATTAAATCCTTTTAAAAACTCTGTAAGTATAGAAAAACTATTCATCTGCCAGAAATACATTCACTTCCTAATTTCCTGTTGTGCATTGACAGCACATTGGGGTTGATTTACAAAAGGCAATTAGACTATTTACACTTAATTACACTGCACTTGCAAAGTGAACAGCCTATATGCTTTTTTGTGGACTGTTTGGTGCCAGCCCTGCCCATTGTCTTTTGCTAAACTACTCCTATTGCCAACATAGGGACTAATTGACTTGTAGTCCTAGATGTAAACAGAGAGAGCCAAATAGCCAAATAGTCTCTTTGAGATAACAAAGATAGCACAGGACAACTCTGAATTTCTGACATCAAACTTTTATTTTTTACCTTTTAAAACAGATATAAAATGTTTTTAGTGGTATATTCATGATCGGTGTTACAGTCACTGACATCTGCTGGTTATGTTTGCTGCCACTGTTGCCGGAGACAGGGGGTTTGGAGGTGTGCGTGTATGTGTGTGTGTGGGGGGGGGGGGATTATTATTGCTGCCATTGACCCCATGAAGGGGGGTGGGGGGTATTTTCACTGACAATGACACCATTGCCGGGGGGTTTTATCTTTGCTGGATGAGGGACACCACCCAAACAGCTTTGTGCAGCAATGTTTGTGTAACACTTCCATACAGCGGGATGGGGATACAGCGACAGTGTTAGAGCCTGTTCACACTGTCCCGGGCACTGCCCCAACCACAGTGGTTTAGTGTGTGGCAACTGTCAATTATGGCTGCAGTGAGCGAGCAGTAGGGGGCAGTGTGATGTGCATTTCAGTGCATCCCCTCCTCAAATACAAATGTGACTGTTGGACCCATTAAAGTTGCACCCCACGGATATACACCACCAATTTATTGATTGCAAGGAGGCCTGTGATAGTATAAAGAGGAACCTGTTAAATAAAACATTACAGGAACAAGATGATAAAACTACTGAAGATGACACACATACAGAAGTAAAATAAAAGTGCAAATACAAAAATCAAGAGAGATTATAGTTGATGATGGACTGAGGCAAGAAAATGTCCTGCCATGCATGAATGGAGCTGTGCAAAGAGTTATAAGAAACCTTTACATTTCTACATTAAACACGACTTCTACTATATCTGACATATACAGATGTTATATAGTTTGTTAGTAGACCACAATGCTTCTTTGAATCAGAAGTGAAGGCACTAAAGTAACATTAAACTCTGGTTTAAGAAAAAAATCTATTCAAGTATGTATTCCCAACTTTAATATGTCCCTTGTATTCTCTCAGCCTCCTCCAAATCTCCAATTTCCTTTGATTTTGCTGTGGTGCTCTGACTTCCTGTTAGAGGGTGGCTACATTTGTTCTCCATGATCCCACTGTATGTAGGAATGTAGCCACCTTTTCTTCCTGGCTCCAAGATAAACTATGGACTATGGCCCTGGAGGCCGCATCTGGCCCTTTGGCACTTTTTGCGTGGCCCTCAGGGGCCCCTGCAGACACTAATCTGTGTTATCATATTGCCCTCTTATAACAGTAAAATCTAGCAGCCTCCTGTAATGTGTGTCCAGTCTATTACTATCTCTTGAAGCATGTTCCCAGTCTTCAACAACCCCTATATCATATTCACAGTTTCTGACAGTCTCCTGCAGCATGACTGCAGTCTCTTACCATCTCTTGTACCATGCCCATAGTCTCTGACTATCTCTTGTATCATGCCCATAGTCTCTAACCATCTCTTTATATCATGTCTGCAGTCTTTGACCAACTCTTTTATCACGTCCATAGTCTCTGACCATCTCTTGTATCATGCCTATAGTCTCTGACCATCTCTTGAATCATGTCTGCGGTCTCTGACCATCTCTTGTATCATGTCTGCAATATGTGACCATCTCTTGTATCATGTTTTCAGTCTCTGACCATCACTTGTATTATACCCACAGTCTCTGACCATCTCTTGTATCATGTGTGCAGTATCTGACCATCACTTGTATTATGCCCACAGTCTCTGACCATCTCTTGTATCATGTGTGCAGTATCTGACCATCTCTTGTATCATGCCCATAGTCTCTGACCATCTCTTGGACAGGGGCGGACTGACAACTCATGGGGCCCCCGGGCAATAGGGGATCATGGGGCCCCTGTGTCCTTGCCCAAACTCAAAAAAAACTATCAAAAAGGTACCAGGGGCATCTCATGGGGCCCCCTACTGACCCCGGGCCCTTGGGCAGTGCCAGTTTCCAAATGGTCAGTCCGCCCCTGCTCTTGGATCATGCCCATAGTCTCTGACTGTCTCTTGTATCATGTCTGCAGTCTCTAACCATCTCTTGTGTCATGTCTGCAGTGTCTGACCATCTCTTGTGTCATGTCCATAGTCTGACCATTTCTTGTATCGTGTCTGCAGTCTCTGACCATCACTTGTATTATGCCCAGTCTCTGACCATCTCTTATATCATGTGTGCAGTCTCTGACCATCTCTTGTATCATGCCCATAGTCTCTGATAATCTCTTGTGTTTTGTCTGCAGTCTTTGACCTTCTCTTGTATCATGCCTATAGTTTCTGACTGCCTCTTGTATCATGTCTGCAATCTTTAACCATCTCTTGTATCATGTCGGCAGTCTCTGAGCATCTTGTGCATCGTGTCCATAGTCTACGACCATCTCTTGTATTATGTCTGCAATCTCTGACCATCTATTGTATCATGCCTGCAGTCTCTGACCATCTCTTGTATAATGCCCATAGTCTCTAATCATCTCTTGCTTCATGTCCACAGTGTTTGGCTATATCCTATTGTGCTGAAGCTGGACCAGTGTAAAAATTGTTATACTTAAACTTCAGCTTTCAAGTATAACTAACCCCTAACCTAATTTTTCTCTATGCTTTTATGGACTGTGTCTAGCTGTTTTTTCTTTCTGTTCCGCGGTACTTACCTTTTTTTACCTTAGAAGTCCAGCACCCTTCCTGTTCAACATGCTGCCCTTGGGGTATTCCGCTTTCAGCACACTTGCCATATGCATGGGTGCAGGTCCCTCTTCCCATACCGTTGATGATTTATGATCCCTTGTGCTACCTGTGGACTCCAAGGTATACAATCTATCACATTGTGGCACAACCTAGAATGTCAATGCTGCTGCTGTTTAGGAAGCTACTCAAAGAGTTTTGTCACCCCAGGAATGGGAATCTGGAACTAACAAAATTGCTAAATAAAAAATAAACAGGATATATAAACATGGACTGAGAGAATGACATATGACAAATGGAGGGCAAAATACTTTTTTAAAAATCATTTTAAAATTGTTAGATTTTGGTACACTGGCACTAAATAAAAATAAAGTTTATAAATCTATCCTTAGAACAACAGTAGCGAATCATGGTTTTGCATGCATTTCCTATGGAAAATATGAAATACAAGAGCCATGTGTAATCCTACTTGAATTTAGCTGCCCTTTGTGTGTTTCTTTTAGATCATTACAGGAAGCATAGTGTAGCCTCAAATAATATAGAGCAATCACTGCTGCTCTCTCTCTCTTTGTGTAGGGTGTCTGGTTTACCACGTTCTATGTGTACATCTGAAAAAGATTATACAAAAAAAAAAAAAAGTGGGCCCAAAAGTAGACAGCTTCTGTTTGCTCTGGGAATCCTTTCTCATGCATTAAATGTTTGATTGTAAAACAAAATTGTATATGTAGAGTAAAAAAAAAAAATATCAAGCCTAATTTAAATAAACCAATTAAATAAAATCAACCCGAATAAAACATATTTTTCTTTAAATTATGGTAACAGGAGGTGCTGAGTAACATTTATGCAGCAGTATGTGTGAGTTGACTATGAAGGATATAAATGAATGAGTGAATAGAAGATTGATATGCAAAACCAGACACCATAAAATATAAAAATGTTACTAGACTGAGATGGATATAGAGGATTTATACAGTGGGGCAAAAAAGTATTTAGTCAGCCACCAATTGTGCAAGTTCTCCCACTTAAAAAGATGAGAGAGGCCTGTAATTGGCGTCATAGGTAGACCTCAACTATGAGAGACAAAATGAGAAGAAAAAAAATCCAGACAATCACATTGGCTGATTTGGAAAGAATTTATTTGCAAATTATGGTGGAAAATAAGTATTTGGTCACCTACAAACAAGCAAGATTTCTGGCTCTCACAGACCTGTACCTTCTTCTTTAAGAGGCTCCTCTGTCCTGCACTCATTACCTGTATCAATGGCACCTTTTTGAACTTGTTATCAGTATAAAAGACACCTGTCCACAACCTCAAACAGTCACACTCCAAACTCCACTATGGTGAAGACCAAAGAGCTGTCGAAGGACACCAGAAACAAAAATTGTAGACCTGAACCAGGCTGGGAAGACTGAATCTGCAATAGGCAAGCAGCTTGGTCTGAACAAATCAACTGTGGGAGCAATAAATAGAAAATGGAAGACATACAAGACCACTGATAATCTCCCTCGATCTGGGGCTCCACGCAAGATCTCACCCCGTGGGGTCAAAATGATCACAAGAACGGTGAGCAAAAATCCCAGGACCACACAGAGGGACCTAGTGAATGACCTGCAGAGAGCTGGGACCAACGTAACAAAGGCTACCATCAGTAACACACTACACCGCCAGGGACTCAGATCCTGCAGTGCCAGATGTGTCCCCCTGCTTAAGCCAGTACATGTCCGGGCCCGTCTGAAGTTTGCTAGAGAGCATTTGGATGATCCAGAAGAGGATTGGGAGAATGTCATATGGTCAGATGAAACCAAAATAGAACTGTTTGGTAGAAACACAACTCGTCGTGTTTGGAGGGGAGAGAATGCTGAGTTGCATCCAAAGAACACCATACCTACTGTGAAGCATGGGGGTGGCAACATCATGCTTTGGGGCTGTTTCTCCACAAAGGGACCAGGACGACTGATCCATGTACAGGACAGAATGAATGGGGCCATGTATCGTGAGATTTTGAGTGAAAACCTCCTTCCATCAGCAAGGGCATTGAAGATGAAACGTGGCTGGGTCTTCCAACATGACAATGATCCCAAACATACCACCCAGGCAACGAAGGAGTGGCTTTGTAAGAAGCATTTCAAGGTCCTGGAGTGGCCTAGCCAGTCTCCAGATCTCAACCCCATAGAAAACCTTTGGAGGGAGTTGAACGTCCGTGTTGCCCAGCGACAGCCCCAAAATATCACTGCTCTAGAGGAGATCTGCATGGAGGAATGGGCCAACATACCAGCAACAGTGTGTGCCAACCTTATGAAGACTTACAGGAAACGTTTGACCTCTGTCATTGCCAACAAAGGATATATAACAAAGTATTGAGATTGATATTTTGATATTGACCAAATACTTATTTTCCACCATAATTTGCAAATAAATTCTTTCCAAATCAGCCAATGTGATTGTCTGGATTTTTTTTCTTCTCATTTGTCTCTCATAGTTGAGGTCTACCTATGATGCCAATTACAGGCCTCTCTCATCTTTTTAAGTGGGAGAACTTGCACAATTGGTGACTGACTAAATACTTTTTTGCTCCACTGTATGTATACAGAGAGAAGGGAAGAAGAAGGTTATGAAGAGTTTAAAAGAGAAACCAGAAGGTGGATGAGATAGACCTAAGGGTCCTTCAATACTGCGGCTCCTATGGGGGTACAGCTACACACAGAACACATAGGTCATTAATACAACATGTACCAACCATGCTGGTGGTGAGGAAAGAATATCTCCCTTAGCCTTAGGCAGTAGTCAGGGTTAAACCTTGCCAAACTCTGCCCAAATCGAAAGAAAACTTTTTAGATGACGTTGCTGTTTAAAAAATAAGCCATGTTTTTCTGCATTCATAGGCTGCTGCTGTGTTTTTTTTGATTGCTCATCAAACACTTCCTATCTTTTGTCCTGTTTCTTAGGTTTAATCAACAAGACGGAAGTAATTTTGCTGTGATAATTTCCTTCAGCAGAATAAGGATGAACAAGACAAGACCAAAGCCGCAAATCCTTAATCTCTTTTAGTGACACTGGCTGTTCTTACTTCACATTTTCTGCACACTTTACAGTCTTATCCCAATCCCTGATAATATTATTTTATGCACTGCCTGCCAAAAACACCCTTTTGGTCTGTTTTTTTTGTTTAAGGTGCCTACATTCATTTTTCTTACCTTGATGTTTGATTGTGTGAATATAATCTTAGATCCTGATAAATCAAAGTGTTTGACATGAAAGCTATCTTATCACCATTTTACATTAATCAGTTTCTTTCTGTGTTGAACATTTCATGTAAAACATCAATCATTGGGTTTGGAATTCCACACTATTTTTTATTTTACCTCTAGAATGAATGAGTCAAGGTCTAGTGCTCATTTGGGTATTTATTGCTGCCTCCCCACTCGTGACAGTCAGGACTCATCAGTGAGCTATGTGAGAAGTTGCAGTGTGTATTCTCCACTGCAGGTGGCGCTCAATTGTTGCTGCAATGCAGCTGGGAGAGGAAGTTGAGAGAAACTGTTTCTCTATGACTTTCTAGGTCACTTGGGGCAATGATCCAGTTAGATACTCTGGACGTAGGTGACCCTGGTGGCCATCTTGGGTCAAGCAAAGTCTATTTAAGTCTTTGCCCCTGGGGTTTTGGCACACTTTAGTGGCTAGTGTAGGGACAGGTCTCCTGTCTGACAGGGACAGCACTAGCGATAGGGTAAGGTTACAGTGTGGAGGGAAAGAGTTGACACTATGTCTACCTCTTCAGGAAGCTTCCCCATTGGGTTGGACCGGCAAGACTACACTCTGCTCCTCGAGGCAGACACTGTTGGCAGCTCTGACTCTACAGTCTCTGCAATGAACTGTTGAAAGTGCCCTGGTCAGATGAGCCTCCAGGCCTGTTTGTGCTTTTGCACTATACCAGCTATGCATAGTTTTTGACTAATCGGGACTCTGCGTGCTTACTGCTTGCCACACCGCACTGCACCTACCCAACAACTAAACTCTCCATTTTCCCTGTCTACATTACAATCTCTGTACACATGTAATGGTCAGAAGTATGTAGACCTCCCTCCAAACAGTTATTATGTTTCCAGTTTATAGAGTAGGGTAAAAACTACTCAGTTGTGTGCTTCCAACCATTTGGTAACAGTTTAGGGAAGGTTCTTTTCTGTTCCAGCATGATCATACCCTATGGGTCAGGCCAGCTCCAAAAGGACATGGTTTGGCAAATTTGGTGTTGAGGAACTTGAGGAACCTACACAAAGCCCTCTCCTTAACCATACTGAACAT